CTCACACATCCCCCTTTTTCTAACCTAAATTCGTTCTTTAAAGTGTAGGGATGAAGTTTGAAGAGTTGTCACAAGAACCCTTTCCAAAAGCGTCCAAATACGTTGAATTTCGGCCCATAACCGCCAAAAGTCGGTCCATAGTCGTCCCGGGCGCCGTCGGCGGGCTCGAGGGCGTTGTCGGCGAGCTTTTCTGTCATTTTTCGGTCTTCTCGGGTAAATCTCGCCGTCGGCTAGCAGACTGCGCAGCTCCACCGTTTCGCTCCGTTTGACTCCGTTTTAGCTTCATTTCGCCTCATTTCAGTTGCGTTGTGTTCCTAACTGATAGCCCTACAAAATAAGCATGAAAACAACCTTTCTTTAAATTGTAATCTCATTCAAAAATATGCAAGAAGTGTAAAAGAGATTAAGCATCGAAAGACTTATCGAAAGGTGACAAAGCAAAATTTCAGTTCTTGCTCGTTTTTGCTCCAAATTGCACCATTTTTGCATCTTTTTGCTTCAATGACCATAATTTATCATACTTGCAACAAAACATAAAAAATACCCTTCTTTAAAGTGCAATATCATAAAAAACAGTGTAAAATAGGTATGAAAATCTCAACATATTTTCCTTTGGTCACAGCTCCATTATCTTCTCAGTCTGTAGGACCCGTTGAACCACGATCATCTCTCCCACATCTGGATAGAACTCCTCACCCTATTCTTCGACCACTTTTTCGTTGCTAACCTCCTCCGCTACACCTTGCTCGGTAAAGATTACAACTCGGCTTGTCGAGCAATTAGAGGTGAAGTGTCCAAATTTGTGGCATCTCAAGCATTTTCTGATTGGGACTGTAATTAGCGACTACACTTCTTAGACTTCTTCTCAGTCTTAGTGGTTTTGTCCTTATCTTGGTCAATCTTCTCAACTCTCCTAAGCATGCTCCTGCTATTGTCTTCAATTGCAAGTGGTTGTTTGAATGGTGGTGGTTGAATACTTTGTTTTTGTTGTCTCTCAATTTTCAATGTTTATATCTGGACATCTCCCAGTCACCAATTGGACTGCAATTGAACAACGTTACTGATGGCAGATTTCAGGCCTCTCAAATATCGGGCTATAGAATGTTCCTCTGGCTTTACCAACTCACATTTCATCTGCAGTTGATCAAATTGTGTCGTGAACTCCACTAATATGTCTCTTTGTTGTAGGTGATGGTGTCATAGAAACATACCCCTGGTGGTATTGAAGAGGTAAATATTTTTTTTTGCGGATCCTTCATTATCTTCTTCCACCTGTTATATCCAGTCACTGCCCTCTTTCTTTCTTTGTCGCTGAAAGTTTTTCACCACAAAGAGGTTCTCTTTTTCAATTTGATGGCCGCATGCTTTACCCTCTTATCTTCCGACACTTCTTTGTACTTGAAGATTCTCTCAACTCATTACAACCATTTGATGAAATCATTTGGATTCATATCTTCGTCAAACTCTAGTAGATCCAATTTTATTCTGAATTTCTATGTTCTTCATAGGTTGTTTCCTCTTTAGGTTTCCTCTGATAATGAATTCCAAAACATTGTGGTCTATCCTCATCACTGAAGTCCTCCCTATCGAAGGGATTCTGATTCTTGTCCATTTCTCCCTTTTGACTCTCCTTATCACGATCGAGTGTAATTTTCTCTCGAGTTTTGTCATCAATCTCTATGAGCCCCTGCTGCAGTCGACGGATTTTTCGTTGTATTCTTCTCGATTATGGTCAGGCATGCATCTCCTTTGTGGTATTGTTAGGGTTTGGGTTTATGAAATTGGAAGAGAGTATTTGACGGTAGTGATACACATAAAATATATAGAGTTTTTATACACATTTTTATATCAATTTTTGAGATATTACACTTTAATGGAAGGTATTTGTGTGTTTTTTCTTCAGGTACAACTCTTCTTTAATGGAAGGTATTTGTGTGTTTTTTCTTCAGGTACAACTAAAAATGTGAAAAATAGCAAAAAGAGTGAAAAAAGATCAAATATGGAGCAAAAATAAAAAAAAAAATGCAAAAGTATTTTGGCGCCTAAGCGCCAGATCCGGCGCTTAAGCGCCAATGACAGTTACTTGACGAGTTAATTCATTTTGACAAATTTTAAAGGGATATTTGAGGCACCTATTGGCTAATGATGGTGGTTATAACCACTAGAAATGAAAATATGGTTAAAAAACTTGTGAAAGAGGGCATCCTTTGGAGAATACATCGAATTTGGACATATTTTGAAGAGATACCAAGACACCTCTTGGAAAACGATAAAAAGAGAGGCTTGGGACTTTTCGAGGGGCTACTTCTAGTCTCTTGAAATGATTCTTCGTTGCTGTGATTTCTGGGAGAGACTATAAGACGCCAATATCTACCTTTATTTTAGTTTTAGTTTTTAGTTTTTGAGAGTTAAGAGAGAGTTAAGAGTGTTGTAAG